ATTTGATGATCTGGCACGTTGCAAGCTTTGAGAATGATTGGAGCAAGTCCCTGGGAACCTCAGAAGCAACGTATGATCACTAGTTTGAATTGAGAGTACCTACAAATCGTGTTTCAGTTTTGACAACTTTGAATATTTTTTTGAAAATTTTCGTGTGGCTTTTTGGGGCTGTGTAGTCGTGGCTAATGCTTTCTAAGGCCTGGTATTTATAGAGTAGAATGAGGAGACAAGAAAACAAGGAGTGAAATGGCCAATAATCATGTTCTTCATGGTCATGAATGGGAATTTCAATTTTGGAAAAAGACATGGAAATCTTGTCTTTTTTCAAATTTTAATGAATGTGGACAATTCTACATGAAATCATGGGCTTCAAGGCAAACCAAAACATCAGCCCAAAGCTCTAAGCCCATCTCTAATTATTTTATACATTTTATTTTATATTTACTTGAAATAAATTAAAATAAATGTGTAAAAAATAAGTAAAAATGTAAGGCATGGTAAGAGTGTTTTTGGAGGTCCTCTATAATCTTAGGAAGATGTTTGGAGTCCAAGAAATTGAGCCCTTGCCTTAAAACTTCAAATTTTCTCAATGCACTTTTCTTGAAATTTCCCAAATATTCCCAAACTCAATTTTGGTCTCATGATGATGATCTTGGACTTTTTGGAAATCCCAAGATGTCTAATTACATCCCTCTTTTGATCAATTTTGCATTTGAAAATTTTATCTTAATGTAAATGGTCTTGACAAAAAGTGCCTTTTGTTGACTTTCTAAAAATGGCCTGTAATGTATGAGCTTTTATCTTTCAAATGGTGCATTTCTTGGACTTGAGGGCTGAAAAGAAGTTGTAGGGAATGCAATTCTCTTCAAAATGAGCTTTGGTTGGGGAAAATGGATGAAGTATATGAATGTTAAGCTTGGTCAATGTTCAGTTGACTTTTCCTAAAAAACCCTAATTTAGCAATTTTTTACTTTTGATGAATTAGGAGCATTTCTTGAGGAATCATGATCAACCTTTGATCAAATGATGGATATCACTTCAAAATGTTGATTTTGATCAAATATCATGAAGTTTAACTGTATTTGGGCCACAATTAACTTTAGACCTAGTACAGTTGATTCTCAAGCATTTGAGCAATTGTCTAAGCAAACTTGTTGTGCAAGGCATGAAACTTGGCATGGATAAACTCGAAGGAATATTAGGACCATGGAAAACATTTGAGACATTTGAATTTCAAACATCTTGATGAAAATTGAAACCCAAATTAGAGGTTCATTGCCTTAGGAGGAGAATTTTGGTCAATTCTTGGTCAACCTTGAGCATGCTTTAAGTAAAAATGGGAGGGCAAATTTTTGGGTACAACAGTTCTTATGATTGCATTTAAACTCATTCATCAAACTTGCAAGGTTGGAAAGGAAAAGACATTTGGATTTCTTGAGATTTAATTAACTAAGCATTCAAGTTTAATTCACTCAATTCCATTTATGTGGATTATTTTGAATTCAAATACCAAAAATAAAATGTACAATTCAACTTTGTAAAATGGGAAGGTTCATGTCACTTGAAACTTAAGACATTCATTATAATTCAACTTTTAAAACAATGTCCAAAAATTCAAATGTCAAGGTCTTATTTCATTCAAATTTGATTCAACTTCAAAATACAAGTTCCTCAAATAAATTCAAGAATGCTCAAAAGTGTTAAATTACTTTAAGGTTTCAAGTTTACATTAGAATTAAATTTGAATTACAAAAGATTGTATCTTAAACCTTAAAAAAGTCTTAACTAGAATCTTTGCAAAACCAGTCCACAAGCCTCTAAAATGTTGTCCAACAAGTCCAAAATGTTGCAAAAAGGTCAATCCAACACTTTCTATGCTAACTATTCCTTGTCCATAATTCTTGCAGCCATAAGACAAACATTACACTACAAAACATGCACTGCTACCCCTATCCAAATCCTGATATTGCAGTCCAATATCAAACAAAAAACCTATTATACTAGTCAAAAACATACAAAACCTACACAAGTAATTCCTAGAAAAAATAGTCAGATAACCTCTACTGCTGCTCTGTTATAAGCCAAGCATAACAGCCCATGAATTGCATAAAAACAACATACACCAAAGGCTGTATCAAAAGTTAAAAAATCAGCATATCATATTTGTTCAAATTTCTCAAAATTTCCCTCCCAAATCCCATCATTCTCCTCTATAAATATAGGTTTCAAACAGCAAGAAAGGAGTAGACAAAAAAAAGAGAGATTCCAAGATACCAATAACACTCACCAAAGTTTCCAAAAGCTTCCTGTAAGATTTCCCCCTTTTGTTCAGACACCAACTTCACATCGACTCCATATTTCTCACAAAGCCTAAGCTCTACTGAGATAATCCTTAAGTTATCCTCATACTCATAACATCAACTCACAACTACTTTCCATAACTACAAAATAATTCAAGTTTTCAATCAAGCAACTCATTCAACAACAACATATATTTCCGTAAGCATTCAACAATCATAACATCTAACTTCCAGAAGAAGAGAAGAAGAGAAGCATAAATCTTACCTCTAGTTTTCTTGTTATTTTTTCATAGGAATCGAAATCCTCAGACTAGCTTCGAGCTCGTAAGTTTTCCTTTCCTCTTCTCAAATCTGTTGAGGTTGTCATCATTGCTTCTTGTTACTTTAAACTGGGAGTTGCGGTTTTGTTTGTTATCAATGACCGAATAATAAAATCAATTGAATAAAACAGTTGTTACAATAGTCATTGTTGCAAAAATAAAAACTATGACAGAACCTTGAGAATCGCGAGCGAGAGAGTTGAGTTATGTTGTTATTATTACGGACTGAACAAAAATCCATGAAATAGAGAATAAACTTTAGTTATTGTTGCTTTAAGTGAGATTTTCTTTAGGATTTTGTAGGTTGTTATTAACACAAGATAGTGAAAGCATAAATCAGAAAACAAAATCATAACTAACAAGGATAAATCAAAAATTGGAAGTAGAGATAACTAAATGTTGTAATCGACAGAAATAGTTGAACGGAACTGCAAACCTGAAACCAAAACTACCGCTCCGAAATTGGATTCTCCGAATTAGCTCTAGTAAAATCTCCTATATCTCGTTTCTCCATCGTGATTTCAAAGTCCCTTTTGCGTTTGTGCTTCCTATGAATTGAGGTTGATATGAACAGAGTTGAGATAATAGATTGAGGAAACAAGCCTTGATGGAGGTGGAGATATTCGTTCGCCATGGATATCACAGAAGAAGGATCAAGAATGGAAGAGGATTTATGGAACTGTGAGAAGTTTTTGCGTGAACAAGAGAGATGAGGTTGAATAGAAATGTGAGTTTGGGAGGTGAGATTACATGGGTATTTTTGTGGTTGTTCATCGTGTAGCATTGAGAGCAGAGGGAGTGTTAACCGTGAAACTCTTCTTTATTCAATATTAATTGCCCTTTTGTTTTTTCTTTATTGGGAATGAATAAAAAAATATTGGACCAAGTCCCCAGCAAGATTGTAACCGGCGCCCCTTTCAATTTTTAGGGTTTCAAAACCCTCTATATTCCCTCTTAAGCGGATCCGAGTTTGGGCTTTAATTTTTAGTCCAACCCATTTCATAAGTTTTAACTTTTATAGTTTTTAATTAGATGCATCAACAAATGAACAACTTGGTGTAGTGGTTGGAGTGTGGGTCTGGTGTGTGTGTGAGGTCCTGGGTTCGAGACCCATTGGGTCACTTTTACCATTATTATGCATTTTTATCCCCTTTTAAGCCAAACTCTGTTTTATTTTAATTAAAGTGTATATACAACAGAAAAATGAACATGGTGTAGTGGTAAGGCAGATTTATTATAACCTACAGAACCTGGGTTCATGTCCTGGTTGTTGCCCCTTTATTTTTTATTTCTAGACTTTCATGTTTTTTTAGCATATTTCAATTAAAATCCATACAAAAAAATACATAAAATATTAGATTAGGTTTATAATTATTTCTTTCTTGCCCTCATTTAAAAAATACCAAAAATAATATATTAGTACAATTTTATCTTTCTTTTAACCAAATTTTGGTTGTTAATTATTTTGTTATTTAATGGCTATTTGTTTAAATTCTTTTTGATTATTTAGTCTTTATATTTTTGTTTGCGTCTAAATCCAAGGAAAAGATCGTCTAGTTGACCTCATGTCATTATGAGTCTTTATTTTTATTTATCTATTCTATCTATTTCCTTTTAGTTGAAACCTAAAAAAGTCAATTTTTAAACTCACACTCTTTTAAGCCAAAACTTCGACATTAGGTCGTCGCATTTTCAAAATCTCATCCCTACACTCATTTAGCAAGCAAACTAATTTTAAACCAAAAAAAAGATATTTCAAAAGCATTCAACAACCACAAAATCTATTTTCCAGAAGAAGAGAATAAGATAAGCATAAATCTTACCTCTAGTTTTCTTGTTATTTTGTTATTAGAATCGAAATCCTCGGACTAGCTCTGAGCTCGTAAGTTTTCCCTTCCTCTTCTCAAATATGTTGAAGTTGTCATCATTGCTGGTTGTTGTTTTAAACTGGGAGTTGCGCTTTTGTTTGTTGTCGATGACCGAATAATAAAATCAATTGAATAAAATAGTTGTTACAATAGTCATTGTTGAAAAACTATGAACCATGACAAAACCTTGAGAATCGCGAGCGAGAGAGTTGAGTTATGTTGTTATTGTTACGGACTGAACAAAAATCCATGAAACAGAGAAAAAACTTTAGTTGTTATTTCTTTAAGTGAGATTTTCTTTAGGATTTTGTAGGTTGTTATTAACACAATATAGTGAAAGCATAAATCAAAAAACAAAATCATAACTAACAACGATAAATCTTAAATTGGAACCAGAGATAACCGAATGCTATAATCGATGGAAATAGTTGAACGAAACTGCAAACCAGAAACCAAAACTACCGCTCCAGAATTGGATTCACCGAATTAGCTCCGGTAAAATCTCCTATATCTCATTTCTCCACCGTGATTTGAAATTCTCTTTTGCGTTTGCGCTTCCTTTGAATTGAGGTTGACAGGAATGGAGTTGAGATGATAGATTGAGGGAACAAGGTTTGAGGGAGGTGGAGATATTTGTTCCGCCATGGATATCGCATAAGGATCGAGAATGGAAGAGAATTTGCGGAACTGTAAAAATTTTTAGCGTGAACAAGAGAGATGAGTTTGAATAGAAATGTGAGTTTGAGAGGTGAGATTACATGGGTATTTTTGTGGTTGTTTATCATGTAGCGTTGAGAGAAGAGGGAGTGGTAACCGTGAAACTCTTATTTATTCAATATTAATTTCCCTTTAATTTTTCTTTATTTGGAATGAATCAAAAAATATTGGACCAAGTCCCCAACAAGATTTTAACTGGCGCCTCTTTTAATTTTTTAGGGTTTTAAAACCCTCTCTATTCCCTCTTAAGAGGATCCGGGTTTGGGATTGAATTTTTTAGCCCAACCCATTTTATAAGTTTTAACTTTTATAGTTTTTGATTAGATGCATCAACGAATGAACAACTTGGTGTAGTGGTTGGAGTGGGGGTCTAGTGTGTGTGAGGTCCTGGGTTTAAGACCCATTAGGACACTTTTACCATTATTCTACATTTTTATCCCCTTTTAACCCAAATTCTATTTTATTTTAATTAAAGTGTATATACAACAGAAAAATGAACATACTGTAGTGGTAAGGCAAATTTATTGTAACCTATGGAACCTGAGTTCAAGTCCTGGCTGTTGCCCCTTTATTTTTTATTTCTAGACTTTCAAGTATTTTTAGCCTATTTCATTTAAAATCCATACAAGAAAAATATAAAAAATATTAGATTAGGTTTATAATTATTTCTTTCTTTCCCTCATTTAAAAAATACCAAAAATAATATATTAGTATAATTTTGTCTTTCTTTTTATCAATTTTTGGTTGTTAAATATTTAGTTATTTAATGGCTATTTATTTAAATTACTTTTGATCATTTATTCTTTATATTTTTGTTTACGTCTAAATCCAAGGAAAAGATCGTCTGGTTGACCTCGTGTCATTGTGCGTCTTTATTTTTATTTGTTTATTCTATATATTTCCTTTTAGTTAAAACCCAAAAAACTCAATTTTTAAACTCACACTCTTTTAAGCAAAAACTTCGACATTAGATCGTCGCATTTTCAAAATCTCATCCCCACACTCTTTTAGCAAGCAAACCAATTTTAAACAAAAAACAGATATTTCAAAAGGTTCCTGTAGGATACTATAGATACATAGGGTGCTAGTACCTTCCCTTTGTATAACCAACCTCCGAACCTCCGATCTCTTTCAAATGCATTGCATTTTTCTTTACTTTTAGTATTGCACTTACTTTGCATATTTATGGGTTTTATTTCTCACTTTCCCTTGGAAATAATAAAGCGCGATGGCGACTCTTGCTTATTTGCGAGTCAAGTTAATTAATAGCTTGATCTCTGATTTTCACCGCTATAGATTTGTTTGTGTTTGTTATTTGTTTAAACATAACATCACGATATCATGACATCATATCATGGCATTTTTATTAACCATTTCAAGGATCTCAGGGACATGTGATGCAGGTTGATCATGAACCAGACTTCTAGCAAGGGGAAAGAGGATTTATTTTCCTCTAACCAGATCCCGTCAAAGACAAAAGTACTTTCCCTTAAGTCAAAGGCTAGTACCCACTTGACACGGTGAGCTTGATTCTCATAGAAGGACGTTCAAAGACGCAAAGTTCTTCATTTAAAGCTGCAGCCAGACTCAACTTCTAACATTTCATTTTTTTTATCCCTTGAGATCCTTGAAAACATTGCATATACATATCATACACATCATATTATAACAGGTATTTCCCAAGACAAGTTTTCTCATCTTCTTGCTGTTTATTTTAGTAAAAGATGGCTCTCGAACAAACTGTGAAAGATCTTCAAGCCCAAAGCGCTCAGTTTCAACAAAGTTCCTGAACTTAGCCAAGGGGTGGGAAGAGTTGAAGACCCTCATCATCAAAGAGAGGGAGAAAAAGACTAGGAAAACGATTGGCATTCTCAACATGGGAAGAAGTTTCATAGGTCCTCCCAAGTGAGCTTAAGACTGTGATATTCCATCTGACGAAGATGACAACCAGGGTAAAGGGGATAAGAATGTGAAGGATAAGAAAGGAAGCAACCTTGGTTCTAGCCAATATTCTGATGAAGAAGACTATTCAGACGAACAATATCCTCCTGCTGATGAAATATACAAACAATTGGAAGATCATTTGAATGCTATGGAGATCCAGAGAGTGCCTGTGATGGATTTTGAAGAGTTGGGTCTAATTTTGGGAGTTGTTATCCCTCACAAATTCAAGGTCCCTACTTTCACAAAGTATGATGGTGTTTCCAGTACAAAACTTCATTTGAGGTCTTATGTCCGGAAGATCCAACCCCACACTGCCGATAGGAAGTTACAGGTACATTTCTTTCAAGAGAGCCTATCTGGGACACAATTGGAATGGTTCTATCAGCTGGATATGACCAATATCCGTACTCGGGAAGACTTGGTTGTTGCTTTGTACAGACAATACCAATATAATGTTGACCTTGTACCAACTCGTGTGCAATTACAGAGTATTACTATGGGCTCGAATGAAGGCTTCAAAGAATATGCCCAAAAATGGAGGGATCTAGTAGGAAGAGTTCAACCTCCTTTGTATGATATGGAGCTGGTTGATATGTTTATGGGAACTTTGACAAGTCCTTTCTTCAATCATTTGATTGAAAGCTCTTCAGCAGAATTCACCGGGCTGATATTAACAGGGGAACAAGTTGAAGGTGGAATCAAAAGTGGAAAGATCCAGGTGGATGCATCTTCAAGTAAGGTGAAGAAGAAGTTCAATGGTAAGAAATAAACTAATGTTGTGTATTGGCCAAAAGGGTCGTGCTAGAGGTGATCGCAACCAATCTGTAGGAGTTGTGCTAATTTCTAATCTCGCACCAACGCAACATCAACAAGGTAATCAACGTAGGTCAGACGCACCAAGGAGATAATTTACCAAGATCAACATGCCATTGTCTCAGGCATTACAACACCTACTAAAGGTTGCGTTGATAACGTTAAGAGATTCTCCTCAGAGTTCCAGCACCTCCTCTCGGTACAATCCTAATGTAAGATATGCTTATCATTCCAATAGTCTAGGACATGACACAAATAGTTATTTGACGTTGAAGAATAAAATTCAAGATATGGTTGACAATAAAGAGATTGAATTTGATCCTCCTGAGACCCCCAATGTGATTACTGCACCTATGTCTAAGCACGACAAATGCATTAGTGTTATTGATGATGTTTCGTATGTTTCTTCTATAAGTGAATTGACTACTCCCCTCTTAATTATTAAGAAGAATATGTTGCAAGCCAGTTGATTTTTGGGTTGCATTGAAAGATGCTACTGCCGCGCAGCCCAACCCAATGGCTGCAAACTGCTGAAAGAAGGTATTCAGCGTCTGATGGACAACCATATAATTCTAGTTGAAAAGACTCCCTCTATGGAGAATTTGTTTCAAGACTCGAAGCTGGAAGATGTATATATAATTTCTAGTACTCCTGTGAGGATCACTTCCAAGGGTCCTATCAATATTACTTCCAAACCCAGAGTTGCTCCTCTGGTAATCACTGCACCCGAACCAATCCCATACTCCTCGGACAATGCTACCCCTTAGAATTATGGGACCAACGTCTACTACCATGGAGTCAAACAAGAACCATTCACTATTGAAAATGAAGGTATTGAAGTTATTGATTCCAACGTTGACAATATTACCGGGACCAGTAAAGTTACTAGAAGTGGAAGGGTTTTCTCTCCAGAAATCCCTCCGAAAAATGTTGCCACACCAGTACGTGTCACTAATACTGAGTCAACTACAAAGACTCTGAGTAAAAAACAAATGACAGAGCCTGCCCCGACGGAGGCACCTAAAGAAGTTATCATTGAAGATACCTCCAGGCAAGAGTTTGAGGAGGTATTAAAAATAATCCGAAAAAGTGATTACAAGATTGTTGAACAGTTAGGACAGACCCCCTCTAAGACATCCATGTTATCCCTTTTGTTGTGATCTGAAGGACTGACAATGGGCTAGGCTTTTCTGATACCGACTTAACTCTCGAAGGAAGAAACCATAACAAGGCCTTGTATGTCTCTATCGAATGCAGAGGTACTACCTTAGCTCATGTGTTGGTTGATATGGGTTCCTTGCTGAATGTCTTACCGAAGGGTGCTCTAGACAGGCTTGACTGTGTAGGGGTTGTGCTGAAACCCAGTGATGTTATGGTCAGAGCCTTTGACGGTTCAATGAGGATGGTGCATGGAGAGGTGGATCTCCCGGTCAGAGTAGGCTCGTAGGTCTTTGACTCTACCTTCTATGTAATGGACATTATTCCTGCCTATTCATGTTTACTTGGACGTCCTTAGATTCATGGGGCAGGCGTTGTCACTTATACGTTGCACCAAAAGTTAAAATATCTCGTGAAAGGAAAGGTTGTTACAGTTTATGGTGAAGAAGAGTACATGGTGAGTCACTTGAACTCCTTCAAGTATGTTGATATGGATGGCGAATTCATTGAGACTCCCTGCCACACCTTTGAGGCTATTCCTTGGATAACTATCGTTACTGAAGACATTTTTGCTATTCCTAAAGTTACTAGGGTTCCGCCTAGAATGGCTTCTTTGAAAGACACTAGAGTCGTGGTAGAAGAAGGTAGTTGCACTACTTGGGGTCAGCTTCTAGATATTCCTTACAAGTCTGACAAATTTGGTTTAGGTTTCACTGCAAAGGCTCAGAGGGTTGTTCTTCCTACTCGTGCTGGAAGACCATCATTCCGCGTCAGCAACAATGGAGTCAATGCGGTTGAAGATGCTGATAGTGATTACGACCTAGACAGCTGGATTTTTCCCACCACCAGCAACAGGCTCAAAAATTGGAAGACTGAAGACGTTATACCGATCTCCTTTAGTCAGGAGTAAATGCTATTTTCTTGTTTTTCTTGCTTTCAAGTTTTGGTTATGTAATCTTTAAAACAATAACTTTAAGCTTAGTGCCTTACCCGGGAACAACGATTCATTTGTTAGGTTTGTCATACTTCATTAACATATTTTCATTCAATAAATCATTGGATTTACTGCTTTCAAAATAGCTATGTGTTCTTACACACACCCACACAACAAATTGCATATCCATATCCACCCTGGATCCCATTGATAACAATT